ATTTACGTTAATTCACTCTGATGTCTGGGGACCTTCACCTATCACTGCTCCTTCTAGTGTGTGATGGTTTGTCACGTTCATAGATGATTGTACACGGATGACATGGCTTTATTTGCTGAAGAATAAAAACGAAGTGTTTTCTCGTTTTCAGTCCTTCCACAAACAGATGAAAACTCAGTTTAATGCTCAAATCCAGATTCTTCGCTCTGACAATGGTGGAGAATTTGTCAATCATGACTTTCAGACTTACTTCCAACAACATGGAATTATCCATGAGACGACTTGTCCTCAGACACCGCAACAAAATGGTGTTGCTGAACGAAAGAATCGACATCTTCTTGAAACCGCCCGAGCACTTCTGATTGGCGCTCATGTTCCTCGCCATCACTGGGATGATGCTATTGTCACTGCAGTTCACCTAATCAACCGCATGCCTTCTGGTGTATTGACCTTTAAAACTCCTTTACAGGTGCTTGCGCAACACAGACCTCTGACCTCTGTTTTGGTACTCACACCCCGAATCTTTGGATGTGTCGCTTTCGTTCATCTCCACAAAAATCAACATAGCAAACTTGATCTCTGTGCGCTTCGTTGTGTTTTTGTGGGTTATGCCACTCATCAGAAAGGCCACCGTTGTTATCACCCTCCTACCCGACGTACCTATGTCACTTTGGATGTGACCTTTCTGGAATCTGAGTTGTTCTTCCATGACCCATCATCTAATTCTACGCTTCAGGGGGGGATACGAAGTGAAAAGCAAAATTGGAGCAACTTGGAAAACGAAGAAATTCTCATATGTACATAAATGATTGATCATCCTGAGTTTGGAGCACAAGATTACTTTATGCCAAAAAGCGACCAATCTCCTATTCATAGCGATCAATTACCTGACGCACCTGATCCATACGAAGATATTTCTGATCCGAGTCTCACACCTACAGACAATACAGAACAACAAGATGAAGACCCCCCCTCTAACTCAACAGTACCAACAGACCAATCTCCTGAGAATATCCTTGAGGTAAGTACTCCTACTAGACTTGTGCATTTAGAGGATAAAACTATTGGATATCAATTACCTTTCAGGCAAAATCGTGGGAAGCCACCAAATCGCTATTCACCTGATATTGGCAAGACATCCAAGTATCCAATTGCAAATCATGTATCTACTGAGAAGCTGTCTGAACCACTCAAGGCTTTTGTGCATCAGTTGTCTGCTATCCATATTCCAACCAAGGTCTCTGAAGCATTGAAAGATCCTAAGTGGGTCCAAGCTATAAAAGAGGAGATGAAAGCTCTTGAGAAAAATCAGACTTGGACATTGGAGACTATACCACGAGGAAAAAAGACTATCGGATGTAGATGGGTGTTTACTATAAAACACAATGCAGATGGATCTATCGAGCGATACAAGGCAAGACTTGTGGCAAAAGGGTACACACAGACCTATGGTATAGACTATGAAGAAACCTTTGCTCCAGTTGCAAAGTTAAACACCGTCAGAGTCTTATTGTCCCTTGCAGCTAATTTGGATTGGCCACTACACCAGTTTGATGTAAAGAATGCTTTTCTACATGGCGAACTCACAGAGGAGGTGTACATGGACATTCCTCCTGGTTATAATACTACTCAGACTTGAACAGTTTGCAGGTTACGAAAAGCATTGTATGGGTTGAAACAGTCACCACGTGCATGGTTTGGACGGTTCACCATGGCAATGAAGAACAATGGTTTCAAACAGTGCAACTCCGATTTTTCAAACCCAAATTTCCCACACTGGCCGCATCACCTTCTTTTCTTGTGCGCTTCTACACTTCAGGTCCTGCTGACTCATCCTAGTGCTTTTCCCCCTGCCACCATAGTATTGTGTCTTGTTTTGGTGTCCCAATTATTCAATGAGTGGCCCCAAATTGAATGGATCAAACCCTTGTGTTAAGCTAGCAAGGTGCATGTGTTCATCTTGTCTATCCTCTTCACTGTAAATGGACACCTCTTTTTCCAGACCCTCAACACCACCCCAACTCCTTCCATGAACCCAACATTTAAATCTATAGCCAAACCATATTCCTCAGAAACTATTGCCGTTTCTCCAAGGTCACTCTCATTCACTCCTTGTACTTGCAGTCCAGCATACACAAACTGTTGCATCACATTCTCACTACTCTCATCATCCAAGGATAATATTGCTCATCCCTTCTCCCCACTCCAGGAATTCTGCTCCTCCCGATGCCTTGGCATTTCCCAGTGCCTTCGTCGTTCATATCCCACCCCTCTTGTCATGGTGTCAGCCGAAGAGTCAGTATGTGACCGCCGGCCATTAGTGCGTAGTCTTCTACCTCTCATATCTTCCTCAGCTTCCAATCTTGAGAAAGCCATTAAGCACTATGAGGACACCCAGCCTTTCCTTTACTATTGTTCAATCTTCTCCACACAAACTCTGCTAGAGTGACCTAGGTACCCACAAACAAAACAGTATTCTGGGATGAACTCATATCGAAATTGCACCCAGATGGAGCCTTCATCCGGAAACTCCACAAAAGTACCATGCATCAAGGGTTGGTCAATAGGCATCTGAATACGCACACGCAGAAAACGCCTCATACACTCCTCCCCTTCCGCCCGGTCCACCTCTACCACTTGCCCCATCAGTGACCCAATTTTCTGAGCCATCATAGTAGTCATATTCATAATAGGGATGCCATGGAGTTGTACCCAGAACACTACACGACAAAGTTCCACCCTTCAAGCATCCATTCCATGTCGAACCTCTCCTACAACCACTAGGCAATCCCGGAACGTCCATGGCTCCATGTCCAAAACCAGAAGTTTATCCTTCAAGTTCCCAAACCGAATTAGGAATCTACCATCCCCAATTTCCTTCATTGAGACCCCCTTCGAACCTCTCCACAGACATGCAAAAACTCCCACAAAGTTCTCTCGACTTACAGCTTTGTGTGTATAACCCTAGCCACTAGTGTAAATTGCGATCCCTTTAGCTAGTCAATAGATTCTGACTCGTCAGTACGAATACCAACACGTTCTTTCTCCGACAACCGTAGTTTTGCACGAAATAGCTTCTCCAATTCCTCCATCCTGTAGCTTAGATTTTAATTATTCGTGCTACACACACCACCACCCTCGTATAGATCTCACCTTGCTAAATGAGGTTTATCCACTGCTGTCAATTCAAGTCTGATTGTGCTGTCCTTGTATAGGATGGGAAGGCACAGACATAGTAGCCAAGGGAGCAGAGTCAAATTAAACCCTAGCCGCCTTTACCAAAACTCTACTCTCCTTTCGAGAGTCTCTTCGAAACAATATAAATAATAAATAATAAATTAATATAGTTTTGATAAAACTTTATTAAATGTCCCAAATAAAATTCCCATAGGAGTTTCTCAACTAAAAATTCTACAAAGTACACAACATATAGCACCATAAAAACATACCATACTCCATGCAACATTTTCTTTTTAAAAAGAAACGGGATTCATAAGCAAAATATAGCGACACAACATAATTCACAAAATCACAAGATAGAAATTCGGGGGAAAGAAGCATAAAATAGTGCGCTAGAATCCAAGCAGCTCAGCTCAGCCGAGCTGAGCCAAGCAATTGCTAAAAGCAGGTTGTTGACTAGTCCAACCAAGATGAACAGTCAAGTCGAGCCAAACAACCCAGTCGAACTTGACATCAGCAATCCCAAACTGGACAATAGTGACCCCCCTATCTCGGACACACCTACTCATGCTCCATTGAACATCCCTGAGGTAAGTCCTTCATATCCCATCGCTTCTAAAAATATTGTTGAAATTGTGAAAAAATTACCTGCACGAGCAAACAAGGGAATACCACCAAACATATTCTCACCAAAAGGCAAGGTGAAATATGCCATTATTGATTATGGAGGGTGTATTCAATTTAAATTTAAATGATTTTAAAAGAGTTATAAAGTTGATGAAGTTTAATTGAATTTAATTGACTTTGACTGAATTCTACAAACTTCACAATGATTTTGACTGAATTTGTGTATAGATTTTAACGGAGTTTGTTAGAATTTTATTTTTTTATTTTAGTGGAGTTTATAGCGATGGCGGTGGAGGTGATGGCAATGATGGTGGTGATGGTGGTTTGCGGGGGATGTAGTGGTGGAGGAGGTGGTGGTGGCAATGGATGTGGCAGTTATGGGGATGATGTTGGCTGTGGCTGTGGTGGTGGAGACGGTGGGGCTAATAGTGGGGGTGGTAGATGTGGCAGTGGTAGTTGTGGCGGTGGCGGTGGCGATTATGGTGATAGTAGAAGTGGTGAAATCATATCTTGAGAATAAAAAATATATTTATCAAAATCTCTAGGGGGAAGCGAAGATTTG